TCGATGATTGTCTTTTCTCGACCTGGTCCTGAAGATGAAGCATTGCCTGGAGTCCCCTTTGTCTTCAATCGAACTGGAGCTGGTCTTGATCCCGATAGGTTCACTCCGAGCTGGTCTTGATCCCAATAGGAAAATGTATGCCAATGCCTTTTGGCATTGACTAGTAGTATTTCTTATGTAAGTCGTCGGTATTTAAACTTTGTCCTTGTTTAATAGTCGAGTCTCAGACATATTTTTATGTTTGTTGATTGTTGTCAACTGTTCCAAACCATCTAAATCTTTCTCGCTTCTTGTCCCCAACTCTAGTGCTCAGAAAAGTTCTTCCATTTAGTGACAATCCTGCTTATCTTTTGATGCGTCCTTAATTTTTTCAGTCTAGTACCGGAAATCCAAAAGTCTAAATTCTTTTTAACTTTTACTTTATATGGTGAATTCATAAAGTTTGTTTGTGTTCAAAATCGTTGGTTGAAGAACATAGAAAACTCTAGTCTCGAACGTCAATAAGAGTTGGGTTGGGGAGAGGAAAGTTTGGTACAACGAATATTAGAAAACAGAGTATCTAACGAAACGGGGAAGTAGATGATAAAAAACGAATACTGAGTCATCGAGAAACCAATAAACTCTTCCCCGGAAAAACATAACTTGAACTATTTACATTTGTCAATAATTTTGTTTTCCATATAAAACCCTAAAATGGAACCAAAATGATATGAAATTGAGAGTTTTCACGTTGCCAGATTTCTCTTTTATTGCTCAATTTGAAATCATTATTATGATGGCCTTTCGTTAAGGTGTGGTCCTTTCTTTGCTCCTTTCTGTGTGCTACAATCTCTAAAAATGAATTCGTTTGCCTTAAGGATGACAAACCCTTACTAGTTTGATGATTTAACTCTATCTCAAGTCCTCGGCTTTTTCTCTCTGAGTCCTAACCTTATTTTTGCAGGACTCCCCTGATTTAAAAACTGCTAGGCGCTTAGGGTCCTTATCAAATAACAGTTGAGAGACAGAACAAGGAACTGGAAATAGCAACTAAGACAATCTCTAAAAGCTAAACCAGACTCTAACACGGTCTTTTTGCTTCACTCATTTGACTGAGATTGAAGATGACGATTTGAGAGCCATTGTTAGAATACAACCTGTTGTGGCTCTCATGCCAGTCACTAACGAGTTATTCAATTATAACATTAACAACAACAATGTAAGTTAAACCAGACCTACCTTTGTGTGATAAGTCAAAAATCATCAAAGGAAGCAAAAAGACAGAGTCTATGCACAGAAATCTGCAATTAGTTGCCTGCAAAGGAGAGAAATTGGTAAAGAAATTGATCGAAGATAAACGGATGGGTGTTACGAAAAAAATCTGTCAAGTGATGGCAAAGCAGCTCACAAAAGAAGAATATAGTGAGTAGGCTAATATAACTATGTCAAGAAGACTTTTCAGTTGTTATCTCTCTAAGTTTTTTAAAACATTCTCTTGCTTTCACACTAAATAAAAAGAAACAAAATAGAGAGTGAAGAAGAGAATGAAAACAGAGAACTTGAGAGAAGAGAGGGAACGGACCTGGAGCTTGATGGAGAAGATCAAGAAGGTCCGACCTGAAACAGAGCGAAGCGACAAGAATTCAACACCATCATGATAAGCTTTTCAATCCTACCTATGCAACAAAGCCAAAATCACCACCATCATAATTATTATTCAAACCGAATATGGAATAAATCAAACCCAGGACAGTCACGTAGTAATTGCTTAACACTCCCAAACAAAATGCAGTGAATGACAAAGAAAAAATTACTAAACTTGGTAAGAGCTATCAAATCTTTTAATGAGATCAGACATCAACTAAATAGTACCTCTAAGCCGTCAAGAAGACTCTCCGCAACAGCATAAAACCAACAAAACTTCACTTTCGTATAAGTATTATAGACAATCAACAGAGTCCCAGTATATCGAATTCAACGATAGTTTCAAGCAAACATATGAATATTAAAACTACGTTACTCCTAACTATGCATACAAAGACGGTTTAACTAAATATATCAATTAGGGTTTGAGCGTACTACCGTGAATTTGAGTGTCTCCATTTTCTCTGACCATGAAATTGGGATTTCTGTCGTCTGAATATCTTCTTTTATGCATCACTAACTCCTCGACAGCGAAATCTACCCATCAAGCTACAACCGCTCTCATAATATTTTTTGATTCCGCTACACAGGGCCGGCCCAAGGGAAAATGATGCCTAAAGCAAAAAAAAATGTTGGCCCATCATTAAATACAATTAAAAAAAATTTCTATAAAAAGTACACTGAGTAGGTTCGAACTCGGCAGATCTAAGAAGAGATTGAAGGTGATAACCACTCTACCACAATAAATATCTATAAAATGATGCCCTTAAATCCTTTTATAGATATCTGATGCCTAAAGCCCATGCTTTACGGGCTTTAGCCTTGGGCCGGCCCTGCCGCTACATGTTCATCGCAAAACTAAACAAAGGAAGACCAACTCAAAGTTCTTAAAATAATATTCTTTAGATTTAGAATAGAAGCTAAAGAGGCATCTGTATGACTGTTTCTAATTTGTTTTTAGTGCTTGGTATTAAATTTGCAAAAATAATCGAAGAAGCATCCTGAAGCCAAAGGGGACGCATGAGATTTAAGCTCGGTGACGTGGCTTGATTTGCGTATTTTTAAATACGTTTGCTGATGTGGCAGCTTAAATTTCAAAATTAGGGTTCCTGGTTCGTTGATCAAAGGCAAGAAGATGACGATTGATTACGAAATCTGCAGTGATCCGTTTGATTCAAGATGTGTCCTCGCCACTTCAATGTATCCTCCTGGAGCTGAACCAAAGAAGGCGAAACGTTTCTTGGAGAAGATCAGAGGGAAAGAGGTAGATATGTTCAAAACTACACAAGAGATGAAGAGTTTTATCTTATCAACGATCAGATCAAGAAGAGCCAGGGCTTTGACGTCGATTTCTCAATGTTCCGTGTCCTTTTCGATTTCTACCCGTCGCTTCTCGATGAGAGCAATGCAACTAAAAAACCAGAAACTGATAGAGAGTATTTTGGTAGATTAGCTGAGGAAGCCATTGAAAGATTACAACAAAAGAGAGGTGAAGTGACAAAACTCTGACTCAGTCACACTTTTTGTTAGAATGTGGATTTGGTTTGTGTTTTGTAATGCATATCCAATACATTCTTGAATAATGTGTTTGATGTACCGAGGACGAGTTTTGAGTTTGTTGAGGTTGAGAAAGTTAATGTTCACTTAGGTAGCGGATACATCTACTTCATCACATTTGTAGTCAAGGATCCTTGTGATGATGATAACCAGACAAAGATCTTTCAAGCTAAGGTCCACAATGTTTTATGTAGAGAGATTGCGCACTGCTTCTGCAGGCCAAAACCCGAACAACAAGGTACATTATCTCAGAATTAGTTGGATTTCTCAACCTTTGTTGTTAAGTTTAAGTTTAGTAGAAATCATGAAAGTTTTGGTTTCAATCTGTTTTAAATTGTTCTTTTGTTTTAGGGAAGATATATACAAGTGTTGTGTCTTTGTAAAGTTTAAGTCTTGTGTTAAGTAGAAAATCAAGAAAAGCTTTCAATATGTTTAGTTGTTCGCTTTTTCTCGAGAAAGTACTCATGTGTGTGAGTATACAAACATGTGTTTGGCAGTAAAATATGATGAAGATTTCAAGAATGTTGTGAAGAAGCGAAGGTATACAAGTGACCTATGTAGTTCATCGTATACAGAGTTTTCATTTTCATTTCTAAAACTCTCCTTCAATCTACTAGTTTGTTGATTTGTGGCTTTGTTTTGATTTTGTTTTTAACAGGGTTCAAGTATAAGTGATGCTACCATATATTGGTCTCTATGGGAGAAAAAAGTGCATGCATCAAAACCATGTTCTCGTATGCATTTGCTCATCTTGAGCTCCCTCTCTTACTAGCTAGCTTTGGAGCTTTCATCACATCTTTGCCTTGGCTTTGAAGATCTAAATTGTATTGGGTTACTAACTCATTATTAGTAATCTAATCTTTAAATACTTTTGAAATATTATTTTTTACTCATGTCCATCATGCATATTATATTTTAGAACTAGTAATAACAAAGTCACAATTTAAATTAATAAAAAAATTATAAAAATCTTTTATTAATTTACAATGCCTATGTGTATGGGTGGACCAATCATCTATAGATAATAACATCATTAAAGTGTGCTTTTTAGAAACTAGAAAACAAATAAAATTAGTGAATTTACATGTAAAGTATTAAAAACCTCTGGATTTATAACTTTATATTAATCTCAAAATTAATGAAAAGTTCATAAACTTTAATGGGAATTTTCCCTTGATGGATAGAATCCTTGTTCTAAAAATCGGCCGCCTAGCCGCCTAGGCGCTGATCGGAGGAGCACCGCGGCGATTTTGTCCAAATCGGTGAGAAAAATCGGAGATCCGATTTTTCGTCCGCCTAGACCGCCTAGGCGGCCGCCTAGCCCGCCTAGACGGCGCCTAGCCCATTTTTTTTTTTTTTTTTTTTAATCTAAAATTCAAAACGTCTTACTTATGTTCGTAATTTGTATAAAAATCATAAATTTGAAATTAAAATCTTGTTTTCATGTGTTTAATATAATTTTTAAAACAATATTATATAAAATTCTTAATTATAATGGATTAATATGTTTTTAAAACATTAAATAGCCCTAAAACTAATCCCCCATTAATCCCCATGTAATCCCCGATTTTCTTGCTAGGCGCTAGGCGCACCCTCACCGCCCGACTAGCGCCTAGCGATTTTTTAAACACGGGATAGAATCAAAATAATGAGTACAATCGTATAAAGTATGATACTTTTGAGGGCTTTAGTGCAATTATGAGAATTGGAGTTTGAGTGAAAAATAAACCTAATTCTGTAATTCATAGATCAATGCAATAATTATCTACATTCAAATGTATCTAATTTCACGAGAGATCAAAGCTTTAAATATTGCTGCTCTGTTTCATCTACATAAAGTATACTCCCTCCGTTTTCGAATAGTTGTCGTTTTAGAGCTTTTTTTGTTTTAAATTAGTTGTCGTTTTAAGGTAATAATGTAATTTATGCCAATAACTACCCAAATTACCCTTATTTTATTGAACACAAATTATTTGTAAATAATTACTTGTCATTTTTATGAGGTTAATATAGTCATTGTATATCTTTTCTTAATTTGTCCAAATACACTTAAAACGACAACTTTTAAAAAACAGAGGGAGTATATCTTATCTCAAAAACCAAATAAAGATCAGTTTTTGCCTTGGCTAAAGCTCGACAAGAACTCGAGAATCTTGGAAGATATGTTCCCTGAGTTTCTGGTTACTGTCGTGTTAACAGTAGTAACATTGCTCTTATTTACAGCTTCTGTTGGATCATTGTTCCGTCTTTCAACTTTAGCGGATTCGAATTCTGCAGCTAGTTTCATTGCTGAGAGTAGAGAACTTTGAATGTGTGAGCTAGGAGTTGTCTTGAGATTTCTACTACTTGATGGTTCTTGAGGCTCTCGATTCAGAGTTTTTGGTTCCTCTGATGCAAATGATAAGAAACTGATTCCTTTTGGAGGCACCAGAGGAAGAGAGCTTCCCAGTTGTGACTGCTTCAATGTCTGATTATCAGAGTTGTCTGTGTTTCGCTTGGACGCAGGAGACACTTTCACCGTATCCTCTTGGAAGGTTTTGTCTAAAGAGAGAAAACTCATACCCTTTGGAGCAACGGATGGTTTTCTCAAAGGAAGAACCTGGGGATGCGTTACAGGTTCATTGATCTTTGGAGATAATGCATCAGATGGGTTTCTATGGTTAGATTGACTCAAGGGCTTCAAAAACCCAACAGAGCTTGAAACTCTTGCTTGGATTCCCGGTAATTTGGCTATTGCCTCTCTCACGGATTGTTTGTTTGTTTTCTGAGGAGAGAACGACGCTGCAGTGATGTTAGTTGATGAGGCTGTTACATTTGCACTCGGCGTGTCTGAAGCAGATTGTGGAGTACCCTGTTAATTGAAGATTAGTATATTAGGATCAAAAGATCAATAAATTATTAGACTCTGGAAGAAGAATCACGAGAAGACCGAGATTGATTTTTTACCTTGTGTGAAAACAAACAAATATCACCCCTGTGGCAGAAACTTTAATATTGAAATTATTGCCAGGTATTTGGA